GAAGAATCACCTGAACCCTTGTTTAGTGGTCTATAAGGGTATATAATGGTCAGTTTTCAAGCCTAACATTAAAAAAATTTGACTTTCAATCTAACTTGCTTGAAACTAAGAGCTAATGTTCAAACATTCAGCTGCACGATAATGGAGATTGCATTTTGGTGACATGTAGAGTAATCATATTGACAATCAAACTTTTTAAAGCTGCTTTAATTGATATGCAATCGTGCAGAGCCAATCACATGAAATGTTTTTAAATGTTACATAGGCTGAGGACCACATATTTGGAATGGTTGTGATGAATGACTGGAGTGGTATGTAAAGACACACCAGACTTAATTTTTTTTTTTATGAAACTTATGCATTTGTTGTCAGTGAGGAAAATAAACTAATACTGTAGCCATGTAGAGCCACTTGTACTTTAAGGTCAAAGCATACCTCTTATAGTAAACAGTAGACCTGAGATGTAATTGTTTTGAGGGCTGACTGTTCTTATGTATGAGCTATGGCAAGATTCCCACCAATGACGGTGAACTTAATCTGTACCAAGTGTTGATTTATTCAGTCTTTCTAAACATAGAGAACACAAAAGAATAGAACATAGGTTAATTGTGTGTAGAATTGACAGTTGTTCCTGTATTGGTACAGTGACCTGCTCTGTTTTAATTAAAAAATCAAAGATGGGTATCAAGGAAGAAACTGTAAGTAATGACTTTCTAATGTAAATTATATTAGAACTCAGCACATCCTCAGCACTTCTTTAACCTGTTACACCCCAACATTAGTATTTATAGTGCAGCACTGTTCTCTTTATGTCTCCTATGGAACTGTCACGGGGAATAAGTTTGGCACTCAGGAACCCTTGCATTGGTGATCTTGATTCAAGGGTGATGGTGTAAGGAAAAAGTAGAAGCTAAACTCAAAGTAGGTTTAACGTGCTAGATAGAGACAAATTGAAGCGTATCATCATCACTAATCTTCTATGTGTTTTGTTATCATATATCCATTGCAGCTCGTGACATACAGAAGTGGGAATATGTACCATTGGGCCCATTTTTAGCCAAGAATTTTGCAACAAGCATCTCACCTTGGGTGGTGACAATGGATGCTCTTCAAGAATTTGCTTTGGCCAATTCAATTCAGGTAGCTGACTCATGAAACTTGTGATTTTCCTTGAAAAGAGAAGTGATAAGGGCTGAAATGCTTGTGATTTTCCTCGAAAAGAGAAGCTATAAGGGCTGAAGTGCTGCTTGAACCCTAATTTTTTTAATACAGAGTACAGATTCTAAAGGCAGTCTTCATGATGTTTAACTTTGTTTTTAGACCTCTTTTTTTTTAAATTTTATTATGATGGCCCCTAAACATTTGATATATTCACATTAGAAATAAAATTCAGACGACTTGAAACATAGATGTCAGAATATAACATTTTGGTCACAATAGGAAGGAGAGTATAATACATACACAATGTATATTCCCAAATTAGCAAGAAAAGGTGAAGAGTGATTTCTTGTTAGGTTTTATAGCTGAGAACCTTGTTTTGAGGAATGAACTGTTGGTGCTTCTCAATGTTATTTTACTGGTTTTCGTTTTTAGGATCCAGCTCCTCTACCTTATCTTCAGCACACAGACCCTTACACTTTTGACATCAATTTGCAAGTTGCTTTACAATGTATGTAGAACTATTCAATAATAATAAGATCGTTTGGAGTTAACAACGTACTAGTTGACAATGTAAATTGGCCACCTTAAAGAGTCTCTTAAAATGACATTTTAAGATATCGCATCAAAATATGAGTAGTGACTCTTAACTGTGAACCTCTACCCTTGGGCTATTCTTAATGGCACAGAAGGCCCATTCATGGAAAAATTATAGTTATATTTTAGATTCATTATTACATGATTGGCTATATTTGTAATGGGAATATCTTGACAATTCCTCAAAAGCCTGGATGCGCTTTTGTTTTCAAGGTGAAAACGCTAAAGCACCTGTGACAATCTGTTCCTCGAATTTCAAGGTTAGTTTTTAACTTTCAGATAACATAGATACAACACACGCTCTCATTGGTCGATAGGTTTGTTTAGGTGAGAGTTTCATAATGAATACCTGATTTCGCGATTTTGGCAAGACACTTCTGCGTCGGATTTTATTTGTGCGATTTCAACACTCAAATATGAAAGTGGGGCATTACATTTCGCGGTTCAAGCGTTCTCGACCTCATTTTACTTTTCAAAATACCTTAACTTTTGACGACTGCACGAAAGATAGTCGAGGGAGTTCGTACGAATCTAGCGATTCAGATGACTAGTAAGATGACTGCTACATTTCCTACTCCATATGCGAAATACACACAAATTAACGTCATTTCACAACAGAAGATACAAAATAGAACACACCAGTAAGACCAGTTAATTATTAGTTTTTTGTCGATGCCTGTCTTTCTGTTGTTGCGATTTCATGTTGCTCATTTTTTTTTTCTGTGATGTAAATTTTCGGGAGGGGATTTAATTTCGCGTGTTTAAATTTCGGGAAGATCTTTAATTTTGCATTGTAAAGAAATCGCGGAAAGTATCACTAAGATAACTTTCCCATCCACGTTCTTTAGTCAGTCGGCTCTTCGAAGCACAGCTGAAGTTAGCCTAGTCTCCAACTGGGCAGAGGATAAATAAAAAGAATGACGGCCTGATCTCCTTTCATGCGCACTTTTTTCCTAGACATAAAATAAACCATGGCGCTAGCTTTGATAGTTAACGAGTATGAGTGTTTCGCCTAAAAATCTAAACATGCATATATGTATTGAATTCATGGCAAACATGTGCATGGTTAAGGTTAACCAACTCTCAAATAGAAAAATGACAAGAATTCCGTAAAGAAGTGATACCCTTCTCCCTGTTCCCGTTTACAACTCAGTGAGATAGGTTTCTCATTTTTGTATGTTCGTTTGTTTGTTTGTTTCTTTATTTTGAATTATCAACCTTATACTAAAAGTTTGCCATTGTCTCAGCATATGTATTGGACACCTAAACAACAGTTAGTTCATCATACAGTGACTGGATGCAATGTTCGACCTGGAGACCTGATGGGCTCTGGCACAATCAGTGGAACGGTGAGATGACTGTATGGTAAACGTATGGTATTCATATATTTACAGTCGGTAAGATAACTGATAGATGTAAATTTGACTTTGTTTTCTTAAAATTAACGTCAAATAACGTCATCATCAGGTCAGAGGAGAGTAGTCAGTCTGAATGATAAAGGCTGAAATTACGTCGTAATTTTGTCACACAAACGTCGTTCTGGTTTAATGGTGAAGTTCTTCTTACTACTGTACTGAATTTCTCTCTTATTTTACAACCAGTACGTGGATTTTTATGTTATCAAATCACTCGCCTTGACACGTTTCATAGAGTAACTTTTTCAATCATGAAGTTGTTTTGTTTCCAGACCCCTGACTCCTATGGCTCAATGCTAGAGCTTTCCTGGAAAGGTACTAAACCCGTGGATCTGGGAGAAGGAATTACACGGAAGTTCCTACAGGATGGAGATGAAGTGATTATGACGGGATATTGTCAAGGCAATGGCTACAGAGTTGGGTTTGGAGAGTGCAGAAGTAAAATTTTACCCGCTTAATGGTGATAACAATGAACAAAGTCACTGAAACTGGAACCGTAAGGATGATGGTTAGGAATGGGGTGAAGCATTTTGATGTAATCGAATAAACTAAACGTTATTTTATGATTTATTTCCTTGATGTAATTGACTTTTTTTTTGGTTGAAATATTGATTTTTCTTTTCGAGAATTGACGAAAACCATTTTATTGCCAGTGAAACTTAAGTTGAACCCCCTTGATCGTTCTGTTAAAAGATACTGAACCTGTCGTCCTTTTAGACCAAAGATCTTAAATCTCGGGCTTATTATGAGTCATGGAATTCTGCATCATCGATTAACTAGACTTGGGAAATGGGCGACTACGATTTTACTGAGAACATCATAAAGAGAAATACTTGATTGAATTTCTGTTTTCACATTATTAACAGCTCAATCAGAGGACATAAAGACAAAAAAGTCCTGGAAAAGGCCGTGAAAAGACACGGAACAGTAAAGTTAGCCGTAATCTTTCTCTCCACTCTGCACCTCTTCAATTCCCGTTACATACAGTTCCCTTAATGCAAATAGGTGTTCTACATTTTACAGTTCTTCAAGAAAAAAAAAACTCCGTTCTGATCGACCACCCTACTCACTCTCTGTTTCGTGATAGATAGTCGCATGCGACGAGACCTTTATCACTTTAAAGTCACGAGCTTACCTTGTTGGGAAAGTTTTCAACGTACTCGCTCCCATATCTCTTAATTACATTTCAATTGTCACGGGAAAGAAATATGAGTAGCCCTACTGCACGAGGTAAATAGTTTTAACTTTTCGTTTTCACTGCTCGCTGGACCTAAAAAGCTGAGCGCACGGAGACGGAGGCTTGATTGAGCGGAAAACTAGCGAATATTTTCGTGGGGTTTTAGTAATTACAGAAAAGCGCGCGCTCTGATTGGCCATGGATCACGTCCCTTCTTGCGATTCTTCGAGCGAAGTCAAAACAAAATCGACGCACAAATTTGCAAAAAAGGCTGCTACGCCCAAAAAGAAGGAAGAAGATAAATAAAACGTAATTGATAGTAGGTTAACGAAAACAGGCTGAGTGAAGACTGTGAAATAATCCTTCTTTTCATGTTTTAAGAGTTTCAAATTCTCTTTCACGTTGGTATTTCTCTGCAAGAAGCCTACCCTTTTATATACAGAGAAACCTGTATTAAACTGATACCATATTCAATGAACACCTCGAATAACGCCATGGACCGAATCACCAGCTGAAGCTCGACTTTGGCTCCTATTAATTGCATCAACTCCACTAAAATTACACTGAAAGGGCCCTGTTGGTTTCCAATCAGTAAAGGATCCATTGTAGCTTCCTTTGATAGCTTCTTTTGTTATTAAGTAACTCAGACGGAATAATGTTAATATCGATGTTTATTAAATCAGCAAATAATTTAAATCACAAAACTTAATATATAACTTAATGTTTCCTTGTCTAGAAACAACCTAATCGATCTTATACACCTTTTAAATATATTTGGTAACTAAAAAAGCCAAGCCTCTACGAATAATTGATCGTTTAAGAATTTCACTGTAATTTACAATATACTTCTATTCCGAAAAAATGAGCGTTTTAAAAAATTTTAACTATAATAAACAACAGAATAAAGACCTATTCCGGCTGTTAGTTACTTTACGTCTTCTTTTATGGAATTTTATTGGTAATTCTATGATAGGGAAGAATTAAATGAAAGAGAAAAATGTCATCAGCATTAGTAAGATACAGCGTACACACAACCATAACCTCTCGAGTATGATGTATGTTGCTTTTTCACTACAGTAACCACTGAATGTAACTGACTTGCGCAGGTGATTTGTAAGATGCGGATGATACGCATTTTGAATTCATGGGTCACGTGTCTAATAATGCTAAACGCCTACTGACAATGTTTAAAGCACAGTGCTTTCCGTTACTAACAAACTCGAAATAAGTATGAGGGCCCTTATGTTTGTCCAATCCTCGAGTTAAGTTTGGACTCAGGAATGTGCTAATAATTAACTTGGATGGTGCAACGAAGACTGGGCCTCACTCAGAGAAACATAAGCACTTGGTTATAGCATCTTTGTAAATATTAAGACTTTGCTTTGTTTTCTTCATAGAAATCCTTAATATCCCTTGATTAAAACGGATTTTTTTCTATTCATGAATTTTCCTTACAAAATAGTGAGGAACATTTAGTTAGAAAAGCGTTTTTAACAAAATCAGGAGTCAAACCTTCCAGTGACTGAGGAAGAAATCGAGCCTAACCAAGGACGGGTTAAGACGGGACGGGACAAGGACGGGACGGGGCGGGACGGGACGGGGTCATAACATCGCGGAGTTTGTATAATACAACTAGAGGAAAAAAGAGAAATCCACCTTAGAAGACTTGAAACTTTTCGCGATGATATGCGAAAGTCATGCCAACTAAATCGCCTTGTTAAATGTTTCCAAATATCTCCAGTGACTTCAGCCTTTCTCTAACTGTGTCATGCATTCTTTCATTACTGCACAACTACATTGACTAACGGGTCGATGTGTCGGTCAATCACTGCTATTCACGTATGATTCCTTCGCTATACCTCTGTATCCTTTTGCATTTGTAGAGCGTCCATTTGATCCAAAATAAAGGTCACAGTATTTTGCCTCAAAGAGTTCAAATGATTTTGTAATAAGTTTAGCTTGTGCGTAGTGGTTTCTAAGTCCTTTTGAAGTCGGTCATTCTCCGCCACGAGTGCTTCATTTTCCTGAAAAATTTTACAAACAAATATTAATTCGACAAAAAAGACACATTGCGAGAAAAAAACTTATTAATAACAAGGTCCTGGGAATACAACTTGTAACAATATTGCCCTTAAGTGACAAAGGCTGCTTGGAGATACGAAATTTCTCTTCTCGTCTTCTTGAACACGGAAAAGACAATCCTCTACTGCTTAATCATCTACTTACCTGTTGAGCATTAAGAAGCTTTTTGTACTGATCTACTGGGACATTAACACTCTCGCCGTTAACAGACTTAAGTGAATCCTCAGATAAGTGTTTTTGAAGCTTCATTTTGTTTTTCCATTTTGTTATTCGTAAGGTCTCTGACTTATGAAGAGATTTACCATCGATTCCTGAAAAAGTTGGCAACAAATCAATGACAAAAAAATAATGAGCAGATTAAAAGACCACTTTTACACTTAGTAACAATTATCAGAAGTCAATCAACTTTTGGTGTCCAGACAATGAAAGTGGGTGAAATTAATTGATTGTCATTACAACCATAAACTGACTAAGCACAACTGACCCTGGAATTGGTTCAAGTCTTAGTCCACGATAATCACTCTCACAATAGAAAGTTTGGGGTCAAATCTTGACACCCAAAGAGCTAAAAAATCAACCAAAAAACTGAGATTGATTGGATCTTAATCTGATAAAAAACACCCCGAAACAGCGCACTCATATTTCCGTATACAAACAACACAAAAACCATTTGTTGGCGCGCTAGCCATCATTTGGTAACGTTTCGTATCCTATAGATGTTTAATTAAACAAAACTTTTAGTTGTGACCTACCATTCAATTGTGACGAAGGTTTTTGACGACATCCTCTAACTATTTCTCCTTTACAGTTTTTGTGACAGTTGATATGACAAACTGAGAAGAAACCAAAAATTTTTCAATGATTTAATGCCTTTACATTTTGTTTATAGAGTATATTTTGTTTCACTTTCTAGACATTGTGCTAAGCATCGTGTTGCATGTCAACTTACCTTTACATCTATATCCTTGCTTGATGACTCCCCACAGCTGGAGAAAATAGAATGAACATGACATGAAATACTGAGGAAGACACAGAGTGAACTAATGTTCAACTCAATGGACTCTGCAACGAATTGTACAAGGTTCAAACCCTTACTAGAGTCACAGTATTATTGTTTGGAAAGACACTTCATTTGGCTCCCTCAACTCAGGAGTTTAAGTACCAACAAACGGATACACTGGGATCCCATCCAAGTAAAGTAAAAATACTCCCAGTCGCTCCATGTCATCAAAACTGGGATGGGCTTTGGAGGTTTGGCCCTTTTTCTCGTGTGCTTGCTTGCGAGGTTAGATGAGAGGATGGGCGAATGGGTGGTATTAATGACGAATGGACCTTTAATCAATAACACTTCATATGACAAAAATAGAAAAAAAAACTTTTGGTTCCATTATATTGTTGCACAGAAATTCCTTACCATGCCAGCACAATGGTCACAAAAGGTTGGTGTGAAGTACGTCGTTTCTTGAAAGTTGTGTGAGAAGCCCTTGCTTAGTTCGTGACAGTTTGCTTTCATGAAGTAGTTCTTCATCTCGTCTCGACTGATAACACCGTCACTAAAAGATAACAATTTGGAGGGTAATTTTTAAAATTGAGCCATTTGAAATTAACCAATCGGCATGATAAGTCTCGAAGCACCCGAGTTCAAACTGAGTTCCGAGTCTCCATTGCTGCATTGAGTCGATATATCATTCTAGTAGAGACACTACAATTTGCGTACCATGATTTTCTCAGCGTTTATGTTTGCTTCATTCAGGCAACATATTAATTTAGCCTTCCATTATCTTTCGTGCGTGAGTAAGTGAGTGGTGCAACCAAATTAGTAAAATAGTTTTACCATAAGATGTTACACTTCATAATTAAGAAAAAAAAGTTAACAGTACATGGTCTTGCTGTGTCTGTCCGTGCGTGTATCAGAAACACACTTGTGTTTAAAGTGCGTGTGGGTTGTGTTAAATTATTACCTGTTAATGTCCAGAACTCCAAATGAATCAATAAAGGGGAAATTGGTAGCTATGGCATCAAACTCCTCTACTGATATTGAACCATCTTTGTTTGTGTCATAAATTTTGAAGACAGCCTATAAAGAATAAGTCAGAATTGACAATGATGATGATATCCACCCACTATTCAATTCTCTCTGTCCTGACGTCAGACCTTCTCAAACTCATGAACATTTGAGGATGGTCCGAGGCTATGATCAAAGCAGACATTTAAAATGGCATCCTCATACAGGAAACTGAGGAGATACTGTTAGGTACTTTTAGTATTTGGAGTGAAAAACATACAGGTACCCGGTTGCCGGAGAGAAAAATGGCTATTTTAAGAAACAAAGCTCATTTGGGTTTATTTTGCTTTAGGAGTTTCAATAGACTGAGCTTACCCTTGTTTCATAAGTGAACTTTACACGTACAGTTATATGTGATAACGCAAAGTGATGGCGAACAGGCAACGTACATGTTTTCAGAATTTTAATTCTTAAGATTAACACAAACCTTCTGATGGATGGTTTCAAGAAAAGTTACGTCAGTGCAATTAACTTTCTTCTGGATTCTTAGCCGCTACAAACAGTGAATTTAGTTTGTTTTACATGACGCGATTTGACTGTAATTACAGTTGTACGTACCTCCACCATGGATGAGACATGTCTCTCAGTTGTCTGAGGGTCAGGCGTTGTGTTCAATAGTCCAGCTGCCCAATCAGCAAACATCACACCTTGTTCAGTATTTGACTCTACACTTCCGAGACTGCCACAGCTCTTTAAGGTAAAACAAAACCTCTTTGAATGAAATGTTCTCTGAAGGCTTTGCTATTACCTTTTGTCCTCTTGCTTGGAGTTCTGCCAACCTTGCTACTTAGCATTGTATCACTGAGAGATACAATGACGAGTTTGATCATTTGCGGTGAGTGGTACAACATTTGTATATCAATTTGTTGTTGAGGAAGTTAGGTAAAGAATGTTGGAACAATCTATAGAATCTAAAGAAGACAAAGACACCAAATTTTGTCATAACTGCACTTACAGAATGAGTGTGGTTCTTTGGTTCTCTAGCAAGTGATAATTCATATAACTCTTCCTCAGTGACTCTGGGTTGCAATGACACCTAAAAACAAAGTGCAAAGTAGCACAGTTGCTCCAGGGGTGCACAATAGGTAAGAGAAGTTACTGGAAATCTGTTCATGGATTTAAAGGCAATTTATTGCAAGCCACAATTTCAAGATTCTCCAGCCCTTTAATCTAGTTCCAAAACCTTAATGTCCAAATAGCTTACATGTTTACCTGAACAGTCCACATTTGTCTTTGTTTAACTTATTAACTGCAGCCAAATGATACATTCCCTGGATTCTGTACAGAAAGGTCCAGGTAAGATTGCTGAGTTGTATTTCTGAGTCTCACTTTACTCAAGAATAATATAAAAGGCTGCTAAGGAAACTTAAAGCCAAGGCTGTAGCCCTGTGATGAATCCATGATGAAATTACCAATACTCCTTGCCACTTTATGATACTGGGATAAGCTAAAGTATGATTGGCCTCTTGGCTTGTATCATGACTTGTCTTATGTAACTTGATTTCAAATGTATTGCCAACCCTTCTGACAACTCATTGAGCAAAGTACCTTTCACCTGTGTCCAGCCACTTTGCACAGAACAAATAATGCACTGTCAGTATTGTTATTATGAATGGCCAACATACCCGCAGCATTTTAATAAGTTCTGAATTTGGTTGTACTGATGGTGCAGTGTTTTGAACCAGCAGCACATGTGACATGATGTGTGACAGACGCACCATCTTTTGCAAATTAAGAAGGTGTCCATCAACACTGTCAGGTAAAACAACTTGCAGTGCGATGAGATCCTTCAACTGAATTCCTACAGAAAGTGCAAAACATTAGTTTTGTCAGTTATCTAACATTATAAATACATACAGTATGCATATCTTTTTTACCTGCAGGCATTTTATAAGCAAGTTGTGTAAAATCAATGACATGAAAAAGAAATGAACCACTGTTGAAACTCACCTCTGGATTAAGTTGCACCAATGATATGGATATGAGTAAAAAAAAAAAAGAAAAAAAAAAGAAAAAAGAAAAGAAAAGAATGCTTTGAGTGAGCCACTTCACTAACTACACTGTAATATAAATCATAGTATACTGGTATACATAAATCAAGTTCAGTAATCTCAGCAAGTCAATTTTTAAACTCACAATGGTATGTTATAAGTGTAGCTAAGTAATAGAAATGTAAACATATGAATCAATAGGTGCTTACAAAATAGGGATGTGGAATCCAGTACACATGTTTAAAGTTTTCCTGTAGGATGCATAGTTTCCATCGGAAGACAATAACTCCATTAACAGCTTAAGGTACTAAAGTAAAGAAAGACACAATAAGCAAAAACAGTGCAGCAAACATCCATCACCTCTACCAAGTAAGAATTTAGTTATTTTCTAAACTGATAAATTCTTCATTCAACACAGATTGAGCAGTACCTCTTTACAGTCTTGTGAGAGTAACTCTTGAGTTTGCCGTAAGCGAGATAATGCTGTGTTTGTTAGTCCACCTGCCACTGCCATTAAGCCATTAAAATTCTGGAGTTCCTTTAAATGCTTCAAGTTTAGAGATATGAAAGTTAACAGACAAAAAAATCACTTATCAGTACGTATTTCACACCACTTAAATAATAAGCAGGTTGATATTTTCACAACACACTATATCCTTAGTGGGAGATGCGGAGGCCTTATGGTTGGTGCACTGGACTCTAAGTCAAGAGGTGAAGGTTCAAGACCTAGCCAGTTTAATATGTTGTATTCTTGGGCAAAACACTTTACTCTAAGCCCAGGATCCTATCAGCCCAGGAGTCCTTCATCAGACCAACAGTGTGCAGTCGAAACATCATGATTCACATCATAAGTAACCACATTATGAGACAAATAATAATACTTTATTATGAATGTACTTTACCACAATGAATGAGCACAGCCCTTTTTAAGAAAGTATAAAGGGTACCGGTAAATTTCTTGGGAGATCTGGGCAAATACTGGGTGGTAATCTTGCAATGGACTGGCATCCCATCCAGGGGGATAGTGATACTCCCTCCTGGTGATACTCACTCCCGGTGAGGAAATCAGGATTAGCTTCAGCTGGGTGGACCACTTGGCTCAAGTACAGACTTCACCTTTTTTTTTTCATTCTTCTTCTTAATTGTGTTTCATATTTTGGTCATGTTCATTTTAAGACAAATGCATTACCATCAAACTCAAAACCCTTTACACCAGAATATGATAAAGAATACCTTCTATAGTATTTTTGGATACAGGTATCATTAAGAAAAAGAAAAGAATAGCATGAATTACAATGAACAACATGTATATTGTGAGACGCAGGTTGATAGTTAATTTGTGGTTCATACTTGTATATTCATATCTCCAATAATAACAATAATAATAATTCATAACATAGCGCACGTGTTTGCCCTATATAGGTCCTATTGACCCGCTATGAACAAAATTTTATTTAGGCACGCCCGTGCATAAATAAGATGATGTGAGCATTTTTTTTACTTGGCTTCAGAGTTTCCATCCTGTTACACTGCAGTGCAGTTTTCCTTCTCTTTGAAATATGGAAGAAACCAGCAGAGAACTGCCCAATTTTTCTATTGGCATTGACCTTTTAGGTGTAAGCAACAAAAGCAACAAAAATAAAGCTGAAAAAAACTCGCAAGTTGCATGTTACGCAAATTTGTTGGAAGACCAGTTGCAGCAAATTTTGGCTTTGATTTTCACCATTTTGCCCTGCCATAAATTTTGAGCTTTTCATCCAGAGTTATCAGTTAACTGGATCAAATGTTCTTGCTCGAACCAAAGTTTTGACCAGCCAATAGGGACGTTTGTTTATTTTTTTTGGCGTTGTGAGAATTTTGCACTCTATCACAATGAAAGGCTTCTTCACACAGATCCTTGTTGTTGCTATGTTATAACAGAATTTGCTCATGCTTTCAGCTGTACGTATATAGAGTTATGGATGCACACAGGAAGTTTGGAGAGCACGAAAAATGTGTAAGAGTAGCTTGAGGCGCAGCTGAGAGCAATTTTAGCTTTTTGAGTGCATGAACAAATTCTCAGACTAGTAAAAGTAAAATCATATCAAATATCCCCTACATATTTTGTCCTTGATTTTCTGACATTGACAGAGGTGCTAGTCAGTGTACATTATTGAACCGAAACAGATGAAAATTAGGTGCATGTTCCACATAATGACTTTGGCTGTATCATCTCAAAGTTTAAGTTTTAATCATATAAACTGCAGTGTTGTACAAGGATTTCCAGCCCTGAGAAAAGCCATAATAACACAAGTAAAAAAATATGATAATTTTCCATATGTGTTTGTAATCACCAATCTGCTACTGACATGTGACTTGCCTTTTGCGCCACTCTGTCACCTTAGTGAATGAATGGCAAAGCCTTTACCATTCTCAATACAAGGTCCTTTGTGAAAAGTTTCTGGGATTATGGTTGCTAAATCACTGGAAAATGTGTGTCATTTACAAAAAAAGATGTTCAAAATTTCCTAGAAGGGGAAGAAAATCCAAAATCCAATAATTGACGACTGAAAGATTGTCCACAGGCCGACTTTGGCTATGCACCTGAAAAGATTTCTTCTGTCTGTAAGGCAAAAAGTCATTACCTGAGAATTTTGTAAATTGAAAGTAAAGCCCATTGTTTGTTTTGTAATGATTCAATGCATTTTTCTACCTTGAACTTATCACCAATGTAGAATCAATCTGACCACTAAATCCAGGAACCAAGTGGCATATTTTTCATATGTGACACCAGTGGTGATATGAAGCAAAAACGTTACAATTCCTGCCTTTTTATACTTTGTTGAATGAACTTGGGTTTTTTGTTTTTTGAAATATTGAATAGTTGCAAGATTTGTTGTGGTAAGCTAAGACCATGTAAATTCATTTTCCAAACAACAAGAGAACAAAAACACCAAAAAAGAAAGCACTAGATGATCTTAAGACTGTCAAGGAATTTCTAGAAAGTTGCAGTGAGACAAAGGAAACTTTTTGTTCTGTTCATGCTGAACAATGTTCAAAGGTTCGAACTGAGGCTGAAAATAAAATTATTTTACTATTTAAGTAAGAGTCAGTAATCAAATTTTCATAACACTTATGAAACCAGTTCACATGTATTTTGGCCTAACTGGCAGTGTTACACATAAATCTTTGCAAAATTTGGGCCCCAGGTATTTTGTTTCTATTGATACCCAGTATTTGTATCAAAGCCAGCTTTTCAATCTCTACCATGTATATTTATTGTCTATATAATAAAAAGAAAATTACATGTTAGCTCAAAGATATGAAGGTCATGTTCTCGTGGCACAAATAACATCTCACCTGTTTGTTGCACTTATTTGTGAGATATTGCTTGTGCCACTCAAGCATATAATTCATATCTCCTCACCACCATGTAATATCCTCTTTTTTTATTATTCATTAATAAAATTGACTTTTCATGTCTGTAAAGGGCTATTGTGTTTATATAATAAACAAAATAATACATGGTTGCTTGTAGATATTATATAATTTCTCTTCTCATGTTCAACTTGAAAAGAAATTCCCTATTTATATGTGCCCATGCATTATTCCCTATGTCTCACCCTAGCTGTTTGTTGGAATTTCTCCATACATATAGCTCTCTCCTGAGGTGTAACACAGTTCAGAACCATGGCCTGCACCCATCTTGATACACCATTGAATAGTGCCACATATCTCTCAAGGTAAGTCGTATTCATTAACTTCCCAGTGCAAACATAAGTCTTCCACTCTGAAAACTAATTAAAAATGATTAAATTTAAATTAATAAAATGCTGATTACATCTGCTCTTCAATCAACACACTAACAAAGCAAGTGTAGTTTAAACTGTTTAAAAACATGGCACAGTCCACAGGTGAACTCATACACAAAAAACAAAAACAGAAAGTTACATCCATACCCTTGTAGTTGTCCCTTTTTGTTTACAATTGATGGAAAGTAGTATTCTTTCAGGGTGTAGACCTTCATTTATTTATTTTTACTGGACTAATTATTGTCAAGTAAAGTAAAACCTTTTTTTTCAGGCATACCAAATATATGGAAACAAAGAATTGCAATATCCACAATGCTTACTGGTATTCTGCGTAGCATTCTATATTCAAGGTAAGTCAACTGCTCTGCAATAGTGTGGGCTGATAAGTCCTTGAATGCCAAAGAACTTTTTCGTTGATCCAATGGTGGATGTTCAGCACTCAGGGTGCGATTTCTCAGCTCCTCAGCACATCTATTAGCATAAAAAAACCAAAATACAACACTTATGAGTTTTGCATTCTGGCTTGCATGACACTGTTCATGTAGTTTAATTTGTTTGTAGACAAAAATAAAAAGGAACAAAACTCAAAACAAATGATAGAAATGGAGAAAAATTGGGAAACCAATTAATGACCCAACAACACTTTTCTCAAATTTATCTCAATTTGTATCAGACTGCGACTATCAACACTGTGTTGCAATTTGTCATTGAAGTTAATATGACTTTAAATTTACGAAAAGAAAATTAAATTTACCTGAAACATTGTGACCAACACTGTACCTTTTTAAACTTTTCAAATATTTAAATGTCACTTTTCTATCAAAATTCTCAGAGTGACTACAATCAACTTTAACAAAAAATATTTAAAAAAGTTGATATTTACATGTTGGACAGATGAATGATTTTCTTCTCTTCCTCGCATTCCACTTCCTCCATAAATTCCTTTACTAGTAAAGTGAGTTCTTCATCTTTTTTGAAGTCAGAGCAGTAATTTGATATCCAAAATCTATAATTCATAAACAAGCATTTTCATTATAAAATAAGGGAATAAGGGATGTATGTGTATTGAAGAACCAATGCCTGAGGGAATTGACATTGTTATGTCAGAGCTACACCTCCTCATAAGCATTTTCAGTAGTATGTGAAGGTTAAGAAAAGTTTGTCACAGGAAATGTTGCAAAGTTAAGATCACAAAAGCCCTATAATATATGAAACCTTATCAAACTACAACTACATAAGTATATATCATGTTCACATTCTCTAACACCAACATGTAAATGTCAGGTATATCTACAAATGTTTGTACAAATGTGGAGGGTGGTGTATATTTACCCAACAGCAGAGCAGATACTTCTTTTAAATTTCCTGATGTGTTCGCTATTCACAAGTGAATGATCTGAGTACCTGTAACAGTTGAATAATTAAAGACACATTTTTAAAGATACATTTTTTAGTAATTAAAGTTAGGTGACATATTACATGTACATGTAGATGGACATCCCTTCTACTTGCTTGATCTAATCATCACTTCTCCGAAAAAAAGCCACCAAAAATCAATATCAATTCAAAATCACAAATTTTCACATTAATGCCATCTGTACAGAAGTAACATGAATTACCAACTGGCTTATACTTATTTATGTTGAAATTAAACAGGGACAAATTTTTAGTGACCATACCTTTGCATGAACTTTCTAAGTAATTCCTCTGATGAAATAAACCATTTGTGTGTCATGAACACAGCATTTGAAAGAAAAGGCTCTGGTACATCTCCACCTAAAACATAACAAAGAGTTCTGATATTAAAAGATAAGTATTTGAAAGCTGAGTATCATAAATACCTCTATAAACTGCCTGGTAGTTGGCTTCCAAAGATACTGTAGCTTGTTACTTGGTTGGAAATATACGGTACTTTCTGGCAACACAGTGCAAATGAATGCAGATTGTGCACCCCCCACTGCCATGAAAGCAAGCATAAAATTATTTCCTGTCACCAAAAAGATCATCACAGTTTCCGATTTTTATACATGTATCTACACAATGCCCCCCCCCCCCTCAATACAGTAACCAAATTTTGATATTAATGTCTCTTAGGAAGTACTGAATCATGGTTAACAAATCTTTTTATTTCTTTTAATAAAAATTTTGTTAGTTCAGAGAATCTGGCATTATATCAACCAGTAATTGTCACTTTCTTTATTCTTATCATTTGTTTGCTTGGAGTTGGATTGACATTGAATAGAAAAATTCGGTTTTGGTCACTCAGGGGAATTAAAGGTTAACAGCTAATGGAGTGCTTTGATTTTTTCTCCAGAAATCTCAAGGTGCCCTTTCCTGTTTCCGCTGTATCTCAAACCATACAAAGGTATCTAATTGCAGACAAGGCACAATTACTTCCTATCACTTGCCTTTTCATCCTTTTTTTTTCTTAAGCAATGTTTACACCAACATGTTCCTGAACTAATAAGATTATGTCAAAGAAGGGTTTTTTTACCATTACAGGAAGGAAGACTTGTCCTTTAACACCTATCAAGTCTTAACCAATTTCCTTGAAAATGATATTGTCTTTCTCAAATAATTAACACTGACAAACATCGGCCTGGATGAGGCAAGCTGTACAAGCTAACATAACTCATTCATTTACAACTAATAAGTTAATTTTCGTCACAAACACAACTTAAAATCCTTTAGAAACAACAAAATGGTAAATTTAACAAAACAATACAGAGCTTAAAGTTCCCACCCCGAGTTTAAAACAACCTTTAAGTACGACGACAATATCAAATCTCCTCGTTCGTGACGGAGAGTATTAATAATGAGATGAGAGATAGCTTGTGTGCTGAAAACAGTCTTTTCATCAAAAGCTGAGCAACGCTAGAAATACCATGTATAATTAATAAAAAACTGTACCTAAACAGAGGCATTGAAGCACTGAAACTTCGAAAAAGCTCAACATATTCTTTCTTACATAACAAATTCCCAAGTGTTTGTGAGGATAATGAAAATCTACGAAAAAAAATTAACAACTGTGTGTGGATGATAAATACACACACAAGAACACCCACCGTACATCAACAAAAACAATGGATTACAAAGCTTTGTGAAATGCAGCATGAATATCGGATTTTCCATAAGCCCGACTATGACAACAAACATACAGTTTTCAGAAATAACGAGAGGGTTTCGAAACGGCTAGCATGAAAACTAACTTACTGAATTCCTCCGCACAGTAATCAACCAGTTTTTCCAACGAAGAGACTTGAACGCTTAATCGGTCCAGTTGGCTGTTGTCTAATTCGTCACAACTGATAAGATCAGAGCTTTCCTCATCATTCGTCGATTCCATTCTATCTGATAATCTTTCACGACGTGATTTCTGGCGGAATTAACGGAGATACTGCGATCATAATGTCATCGAATTGGATGCATCCCAAAACAGAAAATGTGATGCCAATAAGTAGGAAATCCAATGATTTTCAAACTGGGAGAACACTGAACCTCAAAATATTAAATCTTAAGCATTATAGTCACCGTTTAATCTGTAAAATGTATTCTAACCAGCCACCAAAGCACAAATCCATCCACGAAACAAACAAATCTTCTGTTTTTAAAGAATTACCTACTTCTCGATTCGCCATCATTTAATAATATCGAAATGTTATTTTGATTCGATCGCGTTAAAACGTCACTTACCTCTTTGAGAAACTAAAAATAGCTTCAGATTTACGAAGTTCATTCTGCAATCAACACTTTATATCGGCACTATCGAACGTCATCAACCCTACTGCACACAGCTATAAATATTACGTTGGGAAGAAAGCGTCACATTATCTCTCCTTAATGAATCCCTATCTCCAACAACACTCGTTACATGAAAGACTACATCCGGTCACGTATTAAAACTTCGTCCCCAGGGTTTTTCCGTCTCCGTGAAAAGAACATTAGCCATGTGGAAGGAGATCCCATCAAAGGGAGGGAAAAGTTTGGTGCCGAGTGGAAAATGAAAAAAAAATGTAATCATTTGCACCGCAGTACATGAAGAATGAAAACCAGGAAAACTGAGTTCCGCTAAACAGATGATGAATTCGAGAGATTTCAAGTACTAAATTGCATAAATACTAGTGGTTCCAGACGCAACCGTGACCGTCACGAGCCACGAAGTTGTTGAAGATGTTGTCCACCTTTATTTCTATTCATGCGAAATATTACAGCCTCGTCCTCAGAGTGTGACTTAGCCCTTAGCCCAACTAAGCCCTGCCTGATATGTGGTGCTGACCAAAACATCTGCGGAATCTTAAGACCAGCTTAATAATGTCTCTGAAATTCTTTGTAAGAGTTGCTTAGTTTCTCCCTCCTCGACTTCCTATTCGCGATTCCTCAATCGTGATTTTTCGTTTTCGATTCCTCATTCCCTATTCTCCTTTTTGGATTCCACATTCGAATTTCTTCCTTTCCCATATCCCACTCTCCCTTTTCGGTTTGTGTTTACGAATCCCCATTCCCGATTCCCAATTTTTCCGATTGTCCCTTCCAAATTCTTCCTTTCCTTTCCCCATTCTCGATTCCCCATTGACTATATTTCATTCCCAATTCCTCATTTCCTAATCTCAATTTCTCACATATTTCATTCTCCTCCTCGTTCCTGATTTTCCATCACCGTTCCGAAAATTTCCGATTCTAAATTCATGGTCCCTCGTTGTTGAAAATATAATTTTTAAATTTTTTTTTTCCGTGATCTTTTTTTAAAAATTCATTCCACCTGCGATTAACCGGCTTCTTATTTGATATCATCCACGGTAAAAAAATTATTTCAACCATAGCCAAACGCTATTGTTGAAGATTTTAAGGGGAACAAGACAAAAATAGTTGCTCTCTCTGCTAATGCGTTTCCAAAAAATGACTGCTTAAACAACTTGAGTAAAGCCAACAATGAAGAGGTTCTCTCGAGCTCTCACTTGCAGATGCATTCCTTAAAAACGTAACAAAAAATAATATACATACCCGAACACTAAGACGTACCTATGCAAAGGAGAGTGGAAGAGAAACTTCCCAATTCAACGTGCCACAAGTATAGGTCATCGCCGGGCTTCCCCACGTGGTTTTCATACGCGAGGAGGTTGTGCGAGCACCCCCCGGAACGAAAGACAACAGCTTCTCGCAACTGGAGAGGAGAACTGTGCTTGAAGGAACACTGCTTGAAGCCCAAGCATGTTATAACCAGCGAAGAAATTGTTTCATTTTTGGATTATTCTCAAACGGGGTAAGTTTTAAAGCAAAATTCCAGTATACGAATTTCGTGTTACAATGATGGAAGAGAGAAATATGAACCTCAAGTGGCTCAAACTTTTTAAACGTTTTTTCACTTGAGTTCTTTCAACACGAACCAAGCGTAGAAAAATATAAGCGCAGCATGGATGAATTCAGTAAACAATCAGATGCCTTTTTTCAATTTTTTAACGATACTTTAATTATTGTTTCCATATAATTCTGCAATACTCTAGTCATGGTTTCCACTTTGCAGAAGCCCAAACATAAGACAAGAAATAAGCATAAGAACATAAGAAAACGCTTTAAAAGGCGAATGACGAATGCAGCCAAGATTTTGTCTGAACTAAACTAGGTACGTGATGAAACATAAATTATTTTGGCTCGACAAGTATTATACGTAGGCGTCCAACATAGCTGCATTGTAGTGGTCTGTAAAACCCTCAGTTTAATTACTGCACTGCTGTCGTGCGTTAGGGGACTGGAATGGAACTGATGAGTGAGCTTATTTTGATAAAACAAGGCACCATATGATATGATATGAAGTTTATTTAAACTCTTCAGAGAGTCATAAGGTAATATTTGTGAAAAGGCGAAATTGGCATCAAGCAAGAATTTTCTGTATAGGTGTTTTTAAAATTATTTAAGTGTTGGAAAATGAATAGAAATAGTGTAGAGGCACAAACTATTCAGTAAGAAATATCATAAGCTAGTTGATCATTTCCTATTTCTTTGGAAATCATATTTTGTAATTAGAGTAAGTAATTCTACATTTTTTTATAATTTAGAACCTTTAACACCTCTTTCTTGAAAGCAACTAAAGGTGTAAACAACTTGTACTTTTCATCCTCCGCAATAAATTTACAATCAGTTCATTTGTATGAACAGCATGTAGCTCTTTTGGGAGGGGGAGGGTTACCTTAGGTACGTCCTTGCTTCTCTGAATTTTCTGTTTACTCTGCAACAATCTTCAAAGGCTATTTTCTCTTTAGATATATTTTAAAGAGTAAATCTAATCCAGTCAATGGGTTCTCTTTAATTCTATATTACAAATCTTGTTTTTGTTTTCCCCGATCTTAAACATTTATAAAGTTTTATGTAAAAAGGTGTTTTGGAAAGAGTTAAGAACCCGAAGGTACACACTTAGTATGCGGGATCTGTTTCACGTAACTCAACATGATTCGCTAGTTAAGTGAGAAATAATGACAATGGTCAAAGATTGTCACCATCGTAAGCTAGTGACCAACACTTTCCTTGTGGCACCAGAGCTAGATCCAAAGCTAGTAAGTTGTGTTAAGAGCGTGTCCACGAGAGCACCGGGCAGTCGTGCTACATGCCATCTCACCGATTTCAATGAAACTTTGCTTTTTAAAGGGTCTACCCCAAAATTTCAAAAGACAAACTGGTCTCTGTTTTGGTTTTTTCCGGGGGGAGATAGACCACCCCCCTGGTTTTTCTTAGTTTTCACTAAGGAAATCGCTTTAAAATGGGTAAAACGTATGAAGTTCTCACTGCGATGGTATTCAACCAATTACTCTGTGGGTTTGCACACATATTTTTACATCCTTAGTTAATGTCCGCTGCAAGTATCAGTCAATTTGATGAACAGCTTGTCAATCAACAGAGGCTAATATGCGACTGTGTTTTTAGACTTTTCGATTAATCCAAATATTTAACTATTTTTATACTTAATAAGTAGTAAATAAGGTAAATCAGATAGCAAACCCGTCAGCCAGTCAGTATATCAGTCAATTGGCTAATCACTTTCAAGCCGATGGAATGAAGAAGCCAAGTTAAGAGTCATGAATCGAAGACAGATAACATTGTTTTTGTTTAATTTTTATAGTCAATAATTAGTAAATAAGGTAGATCAGATAGCAAACCCGTCAGCCAGTCAGTATATCAGTCAATTGGCTAAACACTTAATCAGGCAGTCGGTTTGTCTGTTTTCCGTTAGCCAGCCGGTCAATCTGTTAGCAATACAACCACCCAGCCCGGCGATGGGAGTGAGTCAGTAAGTCTCACGACTAGGCAGTCTGTAAATTGGTCAGTCAATCAGTCAGCCTTTGAGCTAATGGTCAGCGATCAAGAAAAATTAGTCAGTAAAACTGCCAACTATTGAAGCAGATAGTCAGCTAGCAAGTGAATGAGTCAGTCAATCAGTCAGTCATTAAGTCAACTATTGAGTTGGCGAGTTTTTGAATGAAAGATTGAATGAGTCAGCGAGGCAGTCAGTCGATTAATCATTAAATCAATCCATAAGTACGTCAGACGGCCAGTCAAAGCGTTAGCCAATCAATCAATTAGTTTTTTTGGAGTCAGTCAAATCCTCAGTGACTAGGTGAGTTTTGATATTGCTGTCCAAAGTCTCTTACTGTGAGGAATTAAAATTTTGTCCCTGATGCATCAAAGTTAGAGATCGCAGCTCTAGGCTATTGGCTGTGTCTTCTTTTTGCTCAGTTGGAAACCTTTCATTTCTTTATAAAAAAAAAACCAAAAAAACAAATGCTATCAACGAAACCTGACAGCTGAAATATGACTGATTTTATTCCTGACCTCATCATCATGGTAACCTTTATAACCCATTATTTCATCTCTGAAAATCGTCAAAAAATCTTTGGGCACTACCGTATTTTTGTCTTGGATGTCTTTTAAAATCTGCGACTATGACAAGTTTCTCTCAACCACACCTGTCACGCAATTCTTGCTTTAGGCGGTCACTTGACGAAATAAACCTACATTTTTTAGCTCTTTACACAAGATGATTGATCAAGAAAGGTGAAAAATGTGAAAAACTTTCGAGATTTTTAGTAGGAATGGAAAATTTCACGTTTAGAGAGATGCATGTAGGCGAAAAATCAATAGGAAAATCGTGGCGTTTCTCTCTTCAGTCGTTTATTACTTTGAGGATTTGCTAAAATCAGGAAATAGGGCTCTTGTATAGAACAAAACATTCATTAGCTTATAATTTGATCGTCTATTATTATTATCGCACAGTTTACAGTAAGGAAACTATAACAGGAGAGGAGATTTTAAAGTCACATGTCGCGTGCTTGTTGACGTACAAGTTCCCAAGTGTAACAATTTCGGCTTTTCCATACCGCGGATGACGGGAATATCTGCCCCCTTATTTGATAGGAAATATCAATAGCCCCATAAATTCATTAACAGCGCCATGTTTCCAGTAAATAAGACTGGAAAATGTTTTTTCCACTTTCCACCATCAAGAAATTCCACGTGTAGAAATGGTATTTGAAGCGTGACGGCGTGACCCTTTATGAGAAGAAAAAATTGTTTATCTTTTTTTTTCAAGAAGCCACTTCTCGAAAGTTCCTAATCTTTCTGTTATCTTATTTTCCTGCTTTTGGACGGAAAATATCATCTGCATTTGCTATTATTTTTGCCGATTGTCATGGGCTTTCCTGCGTGCACGTGCGAGCCAGTTCTTATACAGCACTCTTTCGAGTTTCTTTGGGTGGTGTCAGGCTTAAGTGTGTAGGTCTGGCTCAAAAGATATCTGCACGCTTTAACATGGGTTCCTATGTTTTCTCCTTTTTCTTTATTTGTATTTTAATTCTCTTCCTTGTATTATCACACATTTATTTTTTTATTCCCTCAGC